GGGGAGGCCGGGGGCAGCAGGCCTCCGCGCCCGGCGCGCATCCCCGACGCAGCTGCCCTAATGTCACGCGAATGTCACCGCAATAAAAAGTGCCGTGTACATGCCGGAATCGCCGTGGCTGGGGTGAGGGGGAAACAGCCCGGGCCGTGCCACTGGGCAGCGGGCGGCAGGGCCAGGCTGGCCACCCTGACCGCGCGGCACACAGCCCTCCGGAGGAGCCTAAAACTAACAAGCACAGGAAGACAGGCGGCGAGTCCCGGAGGAGCGGCGCAGACACCGGACCAGGCGCTGTCTGGCAAGGTGAAGAGGCCGGACAACCCCGACTGTTGCGGGCCCCGGCGGCTCCGTGGTGGTGGGGGCGCCCCGAGTGCCCACAGCCCCCAGCACGGAGGCAGCAGGGTGCCCCCGAGGCGTCACGGTCTGGGCGCAGCCACAGGGGGCTCGGGCGTTACTGGCACAACACAGGCGGGGAGGAGCCTCCCGGGCCTGAGCCGGGGCAGCTGGACCAGGGCCCAGGGCTGGGCCCAGCCCCAGGCTGTCCCCGCTGCGGCCTGAGCGCCACCCTGGGAGTGGCCCGGGGGCGCGGCAGAGCCTCTCAGCCGTGGGTTCCGGTGGCTCCGTCTGAACCTTCTGCTCCCCACTGTCTCTGGGGCGTGCTCCCACCCCCATCTCTGGCCTGCACCCCAGTTCCCGTGGCAGCCACATGGGGCTGCACCCCAGCATCTACGTGGCATCTTTTACTGAGGTGACATATATCTTAAAAAAAGTAAAAATATTTATTATTAAATAAACCTTTAAAGAAGAATGAAAAAATAAAGACGTATCTGTGCACACAGGAACCGGGGTGCAGGCCAGAGGTGCGGGGTGCGAGGGCGCCCCCAGACAGCGGGGAGCAGAGCAGGCGGGTCCACGAAACCCGCCGCCGAGGGGGCCGCCGGGGGCCTTGTGCTGCGGGCTGCGGCGGCCTGGGGCGCCTGCGCGGGCACAGCCCCCGCTCCCCACTCAGCTGGCGGGGCCCACTCGTTCGAAGCGGAAGCTACTTACAGCCCTTTCGCAAAGGGAAGTCGTCGGAATCACCTTTTCTCGGCAAAAATCGCCGACATTTCTGAGCAGAAGCGCCCTGGAGCGCGCGGTCAGAGCTCCGCAGACCGGCCGGGCCGCGTGGCGCGTGCAGCAGGACGCCGGCAGGAAGCAGCGGG